TGGTAGGAATTCGGTGATTATGCAAAAAATGTGAGTTTGACCTTTATTTTTTTTGCCACTACGTGAACCAGCTTCTTTTAGTATCATACCCTCGAGTGGAGCCAGTGGGTTNTTCAGTCACAAGACGGCTCCGAGACTGAGGTTTAAAGGTGGCTAGAGGTGTGCATTGTTAAGTTAGATCAAACTGGGGAGACCCAGCCCCGATGGGCGGGACGTTCTCCAAAAATGCAATGCTTTATGAAAACCTTTTTGAAAATCATAACTCCCCCCGCGGACCTAGAAAGTTCAAACTTGGTAGGAGTAGAGGTGACAGGATGGGAATACTTATGGTGGGTGGCAGGACCAAACTCCGCCCGCAGGAGGCTGGATTTGAGCGGAAACTGATGAATTCGATGGAATCATAGGAGCAAAGGCAGGCAGGCCCTCGGACGAAATTCAACTCTGTCCTCGTGTTTCAGGGCAAGGTAGGACTGTCTTTATCCCTTACACTACCGAGACCCATCTTGCCGCCCCTATTTTGTGGCTGGTCGAATATCCTTGAGATTTCTGGCTATTTTTAGCTACTTCCAAGCTAAGAATGCTATTTAATGAGATCGTTTCGCTAAAAACAAATACAGCCCAGCCGTTGATCGTCCCTAAGCAACTTTTTCGTGAAGAACTTTCTCGCTAGTCCTCAAATTTAATTGTTGCGCTGTGCTTAAATGGTACGAAGCGCCCTCGCGGTGAAGGCGCCTCCTCGACGAAGTGGTCCAAATTCCAAGGGTAGCTCCACCATCGCCTCGAATAACTGCTGGACAACTACCATCCATACCTTTACGATTTTTCGCGACTGGTAAGACTAGAAGCAAAACCCGAGAAGGTTGGAAATTCAGGTTGGCACTGAACTTTCGTTCCCTCGAATTTAGTCGCGACAAAGTAGCGCCAAGACCGTGAATGCAGAAAGAAGGGTACTACAGTCTTGATTTAATGATAACGAAGCCCTGCTTACGGAGCACTTCCGTTCGGTGGACTGCCTTTTATGGTCCTTGAGATGCGACACCTTCTCTTTTCTACGTTACTGATGTTTTGGAATTTTTTTAGTGCTTTTATAATGTTGTGTAGCAATGCTTTGTAAATCTTCTATGTTTTTTTTTCAGGATTGAAGCCATGGTAGGAATTCGGTGATTATGCAAAAAATGTGAGTTTTCCCTTTATTTTTTTTTTGCCACTACGTGAACCAGCATCTTTTAGTATCATACCCTCGAGTGGAGCCAGTGGGTTAACCCATTCCGAACGTTTAGGGGCTGTGCGTCCTACCCGTTCACGTAAGTTTCGAGCACGTGCAATCTTTACTACCTTACTAATTTTTGTTTACTTGAATTCTTTTAAGACAAAAGCGAGTATGAATGAGTTTGAGCTCCTATATCAGTAAAACGATCTTGTTATAATCACCCGTAAGCCTTCCAATGCCTTCTTTTGACGCAAATCGATGTCGATCATTTGAATGGGTTTTAGTTATACATTTGAATGTCATCCTATCAGCATCGCGTTCAGATGTTTTTTCTTATTACTTTCTCATCATTCATACTTATGAGCCTGTAGACGGTACTAAAATTCAAAGCTAGCAACTATTGATCTTTTCAAAAGGTCAGAAAATGTTCGCATCGGCGAACTAACGACAGTTAAAAACATCAATCAAAACAAGGTCCAAAAACTTCCAATTTAAATGATCAGATATTTTTCCTCGAGCGCTATCATCTTGAGTGGGGTTATCTTACTCGTTCATATAGCCGGAATGTGAATACAAAACCGAAGTTAGGAAAATCACCGATTTTTATGAGCTCAAGTGGCGATTGGGTCATCACAACAGAATGGGAAACTCTCGTCGCGTATGTGAGAGGATTATGTATCTGATAGGGTTTGTGAAGCCAACAAATTGAGGCTGTGTTATAGGAGAGGGGAGTGGGGTCAAGTTGCCCATTTTTGTTTGCCAATATGTTCTAGTGTTAAGCTGTTGCTTAATTCCTTTTTTAGTGTTAAGCTATTGCTTAAGTGCTTGAAGCTTAAATGTTAAGCTTTTTAGGTTCCAATCGACGAATGTATGTGAGCCCCTACAGGGACAAGTCAGATGTTATCAACTTGATTCGGCAGAGTTCAGGAACACCACTTAGCGACGACTATGAAACTAAGCGTTTATTTTTGAATCAACTGTTATCGTATATACTTGAAACTCGTCAAGAATCGCTTAACGATGCGACGCTTTTTGAAGAGTTATGCTTACTGTGAGTTTTCCGTGTATCGCTTTCCTTTTTTGTGTGGATGTTTTCATAGCTTTTTCTGTTTTTCACCTAAACGTACCCGTCTCCTGTTTCCTTTTCCTGCTTTCTGATCCCTTTAGCCCTATTAGCGGCGTTCTTCGGATGAGGTTTTGTCTCTAGACTTTCTTATTCAATCCCAGTTATTCCTCACAGCTCTCGCTTGGAAAAGGAATGAATCGTGCAAGCATTCAGTTGTCAAACACATTGCGAAACGCATTGAAGTGATGATCTCCAATCTGCGCATTTATTTCCAGACTGAAACGAAGCATATCAACTTGGTAAAGGTAAAGATAACGATGATTTCTCATAAAGAGCGTAAGGGTCTTCTCCCTCGATGCTAATGGTACTATTTCCCCATAATCTTACAGTTTTCACAACATTTCCAAATTGCCGAAACTGTTTTTCATTTCGATTGGGTACTACGGAAGCAACATCAAATCATTCTTACTCCGGGGCCGATCATGACATATGCGAAGTTTTTCGGTCCAAAGTTTTTCGATTGCAACTATTTTCTCAATGGTTTTTCAGGCTTGTACGAATACTGCGAGATAATCACGCTTGCATACGTGCCATGTGTTTCCGGCTTCTCCGGCTTTGCTTATTTACAGAAAGAAATTTGGTGTGCATCCTGACTAGTCAAGCCGATGTTTATACCGTACGGTGAGATCTATCTCATATTATTAATTGATATCTTCCATTCCTTATCAAACCGTCCCAAGTTTTTCCTAGAAACTCACCTTTACCTCTTTTTTCAGAAAGTTTTTTAAACTGATTGTGAGCTGCAATTCTGATAGAAACCCTTCCTTTGCAGAGCGCTGGACCTCCAAGTCGAAAACGATGAAGAAAGGGAAGAAGCCCTGCAATTAATTTTCAAAATGATGGTTATTTATCAGCAATCGCACCTCAAACGTCTTATTGAATTCTCTGCAGCTCAGCAAGAGGGGAAGTAAGTCCTTCATTTTTGCTTCAGCTTCTTTTCACATGATCTGCGAAGTTGTTTCTGGTTCACAAGTCAGTGAGCGTAAATATTTTGCCAATACTTGCGTATGTTATCAGCCTAGGCAGGTTGGTTGGGCGTGTTGAAGAGACAGAAAGCTGAAAATGTTGGGAGACAGTAGGAGTTTGAGCGGCGTCATCTCTCACATGCCTGCTGCAAAATATGACATACGATGGTATAATTTGCTGAGTGGGGCGATTTAACGCTAGATTAGTCAAAAAGAAGTGTTGTTGGAGAAATTCGAATGTCATTTTCAGGAAGTATGCATTTCCTAAGTCTATCATGCAACCTGTGATTGCTTTGGCATTACATACTGTATGCCCTAGGAAGGGTAAAGATTCTACGAATCCATATGAGAAAACATGTGGAGGAGAAAATGCTACAGACGGGTCAGTAAATATAACTTTGGTGCTGGTTTTTTCATACTTTTTTGAAATGTGGTTCGAATCCTAAATTTCCATGGTGGTTTATGCGATTGGAAAAAAGGTCCTCAGTCCCCCTACGACTTCAATATGTCTTCACTGGGACATCTCATCAGTCAACGGATTTCATCTCCATTTCTTTCAGCAGGACGTGAATATTAAAGATTGTATTTTCTTCCGGAACTCATCATTGCTTGTGCAGTGGACTTGGAAAAGTTAATCTGGCCTTACTTAACTTGTACAACTTTTTGTGACCCATGTCCGGAGTTGACTATTTTGTTAAGCAATTACTGGATGGAATCAAACCTAAACAGTTGGTTCAGGTTATCTATGGCATGTTTTGAGGTCTTCTTGGAATTTTGCGTCCTGGAACCTGATTTGATTCTGAAAATGGCCGGTACGGATTGGATGGTAGGTTTTGTATAATGCTGTATCACATAATGGTCAATGCAAGGCTTTAAGGTTCGCATATTAACGGGTGATAGTACAATCAGTCAACGTGTCGCTGCTGTTGTGGCTCGGATTCTGGTTGCATGGCTCGACCAACCGACGTTACGAGCTAAAGGGAAATTGCATCTTGTTTTGGAGGTTTGCGCTTATTTCAATTCATTGCTACTATTCCGCTAATGTTCTTTCATCTAAAACTGTGAAGCTGTGTTTTATTAAGCTCGCATTTTTCTGCGAAAATCGAGTAGAATTGTTATTCATTCTTCAAAAAGCCTCAACTCCACCAAACGTCCTTTCACGAATTTTTTTTAAGTGCCACTCGGATCGGTAGGTAGCAGGAATATTGGGTAGAATGTGCGTTATAAACTCCATATCTTTGAAACATAGCTGAGGCAAAAGGTCCAAGGAAAATGAAGAAGCCGGGAAACAAGCCGTATAAGCTCATGTGTATCCTAAATCTTTTTCTGATAAAACTTTTTTAGCAAATTTTCGCACCACTGATAGAATTCGGTTTCTTTCAGAAGAACTTGGCGTCAACAGAACAGTAAGTTTGCGGTTTTTCCTCTTTTTCTCAACTACTCGTTTTCTTTTGATCTGTTTTCAATTTCAGGGGAGAGCGAATAGTTGACAGCGCTATGCACAACTTTTCTATTTCATTTCTTTGTATTCTTCGAACGTGGTCTGGATTACTCTCATGCGCCGCTATTGGCCCAAACTCCAAACTCATATCATCGTCGCCTTTCAGGTTCTGTTCCTAAGCAGGGGCGAACAGGGAAATTTGACAGTTCCTCTTTTTCCAGGCTTCTGGAATACCTAGGACTGGGCACGGTAGAAGATAATAATTTGGTTCGCATTCG